TTCCAGCAGCAGAACAAGGGCCTGGATGACATGACCGCGTTGACCGGTAAGGCTGACCTTACCAAAGACTCCTTCTGCGAACATGGCAAGGGTAAAGCTTCACCCGAGTAGTGAGGATGGATCGCAGATGAAGGTTGGTCAGCTCCTTCCCGGCCGTCTTTCCCTGCTAGGACACACATCGCAAGGTGCCACTTGTCTTCTCAACACCAACCCGTCTCGAAGATCTCAATCCTTCCCGTGTCGTCCCGACCCTTCCTTCCCGCCGCAAGCGCTCCCCGAGTACAGTCTTTCCACTCAGCACTAGCTCGAACAAGGTGACCGGCATACTTCCACTATTGAAAAGCAACGTTGGTGTGAAAGGATGCCACCCGGTCCACCATGGACGCGTATACCACCTGGCATGCTGACGCCGTGGGCTTGGTTCTGGGACCTACTCCACATTCCTTCGCGTCGAAAAGCGAATACGGTATTCAGCCGGTCGAGAAGGTTCCGAGGGACGGTTAAGAGACCACGTTGTTATCACCACCCGGCTCTGGAAGTGGTGGCGAGACCGAATTCCGCCATGGCCTGAAAGCGACGCGTGGATGTGCCAGCCGATCTCGGAACGAAGAAAGGTGTGTGAGGGTCTGGGTACAATCGGCAATGCATAGCGGTCCCTAGTGTTCAACCCAGCCGTCGGCTTGCGCGTAAAGCCTTTTCTCCTCGGAAGCTGGCGGAGTAGTGCTCCTTCTGATCGAGCTACGGGAACGCAGTCAGGTGACTGGGACGTCTTCGGTGAACATCATATCCCCAATCAGTATAGCCATTAGCCACGACGGCCTTCGCGTGCGAACCAAAGTAACTTTGCGTCGTCTCTTCTCATCCTCGGTTACTTACCGCGCACGTGGCACGTATTCGCTCCACGTGTGGTTGAAGAACGTGTTCCTCGTCTCCTAGCACAGGAAACAAGGTGTTGAGATTATCGACCTCTCGCCTCAAAGCGTCGTCACTTATATCTCGCAGCGGAGTGACGTACAAGCATTCTGCGCGCCGAGCCAGAATGACCTCAGCATGATTTTCCTGTCCTGAAGTCAGCATCTGCTTCCCCTAAACAGTGGCTAGAACCGCAATCTGCTCCTGACAGCACAACCTCAGATGCAAGTAACTGTTCAAACATACCTCAAGAACCATCTCACAAACCTCAACATAAGCCTCCGCTTCCCAAAAGCTAAACCCAACAACAACATCCACGCCCCTCCCCTTCTCCCCACCACCCCACTCCTCAAACCTCAACCTCCCATGCTCAAGGTCCGATCGCACCTTCCACCTTTTCGACACCTGCAGCGGCGTAAAGTTCTGCAACATGTTATACAATAGGGACAGGGAAAGGAACGGCTGCGCGCCATCATGCACAATGCAAATTTTCCTGAGTCGCTTGATATCTCTTTCCCACATGATGCGCCAGAGTATCTGCACGATGAGCTCGCGACCGGGTCCGCCGATGCCTTTTTCTGTGTGCTCGGGTCGGTACCGGATGTAGAGTTCTTCTAGGGAGGTGAGGCCGGCGCGGGAGAAGTTGAAGGGTTTTACGCGGCGGCGGTTTACGTCTGGGGTGTAGAGTGAAGTGAGATCTGATGGGAGTTTTATCTGGAGTTTCGTGATGCTGGACATGGACGCTGGGGGTAGTAGACTTGTTTTCCGGATGAGTTCTTCTGCTGACGACCATGGGAGGGTGAAGATCATTGCGGTCCACGCAAGGGCGTGATATTCTTCATGTAGTTGGCGGCATGTTGATGATAGTGATAATGGAGAATGCTCTAGCGGAGGTGGTGCGGTGCCGGGGTCGCGGGTGAGGATGTAATCTACTATTTGGTTCTTCAATTCACCCGGTAGAAGGAGGAGCGGGGATTGCTGTGCCATTGTCATTGGAGTAAGACATCTGGATCGTTATGTATGTGCAGATACGCGTAGAAGATTGCGCGCTAATGCTTTCTGTGATGGCGAATATGATGAGTTTGTTCATCGTCGCCGCTGCGGAACGCGTGTCATGCTGTGTGGGGCTCATTCCGAAGCTTAGTCAGGGGTATTTCGATGTTGTCATCGCTTCTGCGCGAGCTCCTGCCAGGCACTCTGCATTTGCGTTGCGACTGTTGTTGTTCACTCTACAGGCGCTGGTCCAGTCTTGATCTTACCAATTCTTTCAGCGCTATCGACATTTCCTACGCGAATTACAGTCTAGCGCCAAGCCTTTGTGCATCGCCGTTACGCGTACGCGACGCATTGTTAACATGCTGCTTTTTCCGCCTGCAGCTTCTCGTCATGAACTTCACAAGCTACACCACCAAGTGTCGTACCGCTACGAAGACATACCTTGCGCAGTTCGAACAAGCTTTTGCGCTTAGCGGCATGGCTGCCGCCAACGCCTTCACCTAAACCCAGCTACCCAGGATAGCACGTCCGATCTCATTCTACCCGGCACGTTATACCTCGTTACCCGGACTGAAACATATCCAGTGTGACTTGTACCACTCATAGTCACTATATGAGCACTCTAAATATGCCGCCTACCCCGCTTGGGCTTCGGTCGACATAGCCCATCCGGCAATCTGGAGTTCATCTAAAAAATACTACATCGGGAGCAAGTACTATCGGCAGCAACCGAACCGATACCATTGGCACCAGACAGCTGCACCATCAGCAAAGAGGATTTGCGCATGTATTAGCATGGTCATGAGGACTCTCATCTCGAGCGCTGTGCTTCCAGCAGAGCCTTCGTCAAAGTAGGATCGGTGATGGTCGGGCTCAGACTGAACGGTGGTATAAGACAGGCTGAGATGGCTAAGTTCCAGCAAAGTTATCAATCGGAAAGCAGCAGCAGTCATGAAGTCCGCCGTCCTTCCGTGGCTAGCAACGGCCCTTGCGCAGCAGGCTAGCGCCCATTGTTCGTACTTCCATCTTTGTCCTCAGAACTAGTTGCTAACGAACCTTTTAGATGTATTCAACCGCCTCATAGTAAACAACACCATCTCTCGAGAGTTCCAATACGTCCGCGACGTCTCCGGAAACGCCGGTACCTACGATGACCTCTGGCTCAAGACCTTCCCCATCTACGGGCCCGAAAACGCAAACGTCACATGCGGCCGCGGCTCCTTCCCCGTCCACAACGCCGATACTATACAGACAGCGACCATTGTTGCTGGGAGCGATGTTGGACTCATGGTGTCTGGGCCTTACTACGAAGGTGATGTCCAAGGATACATCTTCCACGAAGGGCCGGGGCAAGTGTTTCTTTCTAAGCTCCCGGATGGAACAAAGAGTCTGATGGAATATGACGGAAAGGGAGATTTCTTCAAAATCGCATACGCAGGACCGGCGGACAAGACGACGTGGTCGACTATGGACACGCTGTCCGTTAACTTTACGATTCCCGCTGCCACGCCCTCCGGCAAATACCTCTTGCGCATCGAGCACTTCATGCCGTCTATGACTCTTGGACAGAGTCAATGGTTTGTGAACTGTGCGCATGTGGACATTGTCGGAGGCGGCAATGGGAGTCCAGGGCCGATGGTCAGGTTCCCGAATGCGTACGCTGAAGATGACCCAAGTATCTGGTTTCCTACGCCGAACGATCTGAGCCTATATAAGGAGCCAATGCCAGCAGTATGGAAGGGCTGAACAATAGTTCATGGAGACGGACCACAAGAGGAGACTGATGGCGCTCTGACTTCGACAAGAGAGATACATCGATGCAAGTGGAAACATGTAGAATCGCGTTGTTTTGTCATTTATCCTCTATCCGATCTCGATGCCATACGTTGTCCCCGCAGCTACACCCTGTTCACACTCATCTTACCCTTCATGAGCCTGAACCCCCAGACTCCGTCAACCGCAATGATCGTGAAGAATGAGAAAACCAGGCTTCCACCAAATACCAAGCTGTGATAAGTCCAAGCATCTCCAGCATTCAGGTCAACCACTTGACACGCAATCGCCCATGGTAAGACGTAGAGAATGTTCGATGCGAGAGACTGGTAGAGATACCAAGCTGGGCGCGTCGATACAAGAATCGCAGCTAGTTGTGTCGACACACCATACATGATGTAGCACCAGTCAATGGTGCGCCACATGCGTGCGGTTATACGTGAGACCTCCTCAGAGCCTGAGAGGTATCGTGCGAAAGGCTCAGCACCGGCGAAGGACATGATGAGACAGAGTGGGATCTCCACCACCGATACAATAATGACGGAGTAAACTGCCCAGCGTACAAGACCCCACAATTGCCGACGCCTAATTTGCAACTTTGCAGCCTGTGATATGCTCACGATGGTCGAGCGCAATGCTCCCCATGAGTGACCCACAAAAGTCAGCGTGGTCGCCTCCAGCGCCATTACGGGTACCATTATCAGGCCCCATCGGATGGTTGAGAAGACGCCCCAAGCAGTTGCGTAGTTGCTACCTAGCCCGACGATACCGTGGACTAACCACAGGTATAGGGCGTTGCGAATGGCAGATTCTGAGAAGAAGATCGCACCCGGCCTGGCGAGTGTGACAAGGGCGGGCAAGGACGGGGCGGTACCGCGGCTGGATGTGTCGCTATGGACCGGCGACTTGGAGCTGACACTCGTTGTGTAAACAAAGTATGCCAGCCCCGCAAAGGCAGAAGTCAGGTTGCAAGCAAGTGAAATACCAGCCTGCATGTTCACTGTGGGCGTGATGCTTCCGACATGAAACTTCGAGATGACGATCAAGTCGAGAATGATGTTGACGGCAAATTTGACGGAACTGATGATGAGTGGGACATCAGGCTTATCCAGCGCGCGAGTTGACGTTGAAATCGCATACTCCACTGCGGAACTAAATGCAGAAAACGCGGAGATGCGGATATATGTGACGCTCACATCTCTGACCTCCACTGGAACAAAGCCTTGCGCGAAAGTAGAGGCGCCTGCGACGAAACCGATGCTCATGATAAGCCCGAGGAGTGATTGGAAGAGGATCAGAGTGTGAGTGAGCTGCAAGCGCTAACGGAAACCACGACTGGACTTGTCGCCGATGACGAGGTAAGCAGCGCGCGGAAGACCTTCGTTCAAGACTTCTGCGACCACGCCGATGTATGTGTACGTGTCTGTTGTGACTACCATGGAGGAGTCGATGTTCGCAACCCATAGCTTCGATAAGGTGCTATAAAGAGCTGGCAGGATGAAGGCGCAGGTGTTGAACAAAAGCGCTCCTATGTATCTATATACAGTCAGTGCGTCTTTCGTAATATCTGTGCAGTACATTCATACGTATCGCGATGTAGTGAAGGCTTTAGATCGACGATCGCCTGCTTCTTCCACGATAAGCGCTCGTGATCTTGTGTTCCATCGAACGCTTCATAGCGCTGATCTACCGCAGAGCCGTTAGGCGAGCTGGTAGCAACTATGTTACTGTTCTTGGAGGGAATCATCTGGTATCGATGTTGGTGACGTGACTGTGGTGTGAAATGCAAAAGATCAGTGAGAGTGGGCATGTTTGCTTATAACTGCGTGGGGTAAAGGCCATACAAAGCAAGCTTGATGACAAACAACCGAACCACATGCACATGCACGACGCCGTGCACTGCATGTTCAATGAGCACAGTCAATAAGTGGTGGGATGTGATGGTGAAGAGAAAGGCTACGCGGGGTGGATAGTGGGGGATAGCTGTAATCCTTGCCGACGTACAGGATGTTCCACGGAAGCACAAGCCTCGACGTGATGGAGTGTTTGATTGGACAGGTTGAAAGCAAGAGTCGCAATAGAAACTCTTCAAGGGGGGGGTACATATGATTCGCTTGCAGGGGAAATACATCAATGCTAAGCTTGATCACATTCGCAAAATATGCGATCGTAGACATTTAAGCAACTCTGGGGATAAGAACAACTCGCACTTGAAAGCGCCTGTCGCGAAGAGAAATCTTACACACCTTCAGCAGAGTAGAAAATACTCGCTAAGCAGTGTCTCCTTCCTATACGAGGAGTCCGTGTTTTGTTCCGCGTGCGCTGCTGCAGGGTGTGTTTCGACATCGTCCACCACTCCATGACCGGAGTAGCTGCCGTCCATCCATCCATCTACATGACATTCTCCGACTAACTTCCACTGCACTATCTCTTCATTGCATTCTCCGACTAACGGTAACCGTATACGATCTTCGGAGCGAATCTTTCTTATCACGAAAGGCACATCACTCCCGTCGAAGATGACCACCACATCACCATCAGCCGCTCTGCGCACCTTTCCCATGTACCCTTTAGAGGTGGTAAAAACCCGGGGATAGTGAATATCGTTGATATCCTCAAAGAATGGCACAAGACCAAAATCCTTTGGCAGAGGTGGTGGCGTTGTGTACTTATGCGAAGTGACCGTTCGCCAGAATCTGCTTCGAACTTCTTCCTCTTTGAGCTCTTTCCTCGTGGGTTCTTCGTTGAGAAGCTTCTCGGCATCTGCTTTGATGACACGATAGATTTCCACTAAATTTGTGCTCAGAATCTCATCTGAGCTGTCAGCGCCAGCACTCCTAGGAAGGCTAGCTACATCCTCGAAACAGTCTTCGTGAGCCCAGACTTGTTCGGGAGGTATATAAGTGCTCTCGAATACCCCCGGCATGTCTCGGCATCGTTCTTCACAGGGGTCCAACGGAAAGTCATCGTTCCACCACTGTGTTTCCTCAAACAAGCCTTTTGGAGCTTGACCGGACTTGCTGTGCTCCACTCCCCTCCGGTATGCCATGTCTCTTGAAATTACGCGGTGAAGTTCCCAACATCTGCTTACACGGTCTACAACTACCCCGCGAATACGTACAGATGCAGGTCTAACTACTTCAACATGAGCAGCTCGTACTTTGCCTGCATTCTGGGATCCGACGCGTTCCTTGCGGCAGGAAGACATGAAACTCGATCGGAAAAGGAATGAAGGACAAGACATAGGTTGAGGTAGATAGGAAGGACGAATCATGGGTGGATCCAGAAACACAGCGTCGCGTAGTATCTGCATATTGCCATCCACGAGCACTGACCACGAAAATTCCAGGAAAACCTCTGTGAGACTAAGGTTGTAGTTGGGCACAATCCTAGTATGTGGACTAGCCAGTCCAAGGCCGGCATATATGAGGTCCCGCTCATCGGTGAACCTGGTGGGGTAACGCTGGACCCAGCAACACCAGTCGTACAACGACATCTGTGGTGAAGAGCTAGCTGACTGAGCGTGCCATACCGTACGCATTCGGAGAAGATTTTCAGCCGGGCCGTGACTTGTAGAGATCCTTATGCGCAAGTCCAAGTCCACATCCACGGTCATGTTTGTCATCAGATGGAAGAAGTGCGACTCAAGACGCGCCATCGCCCGTTCGAATGTTTTGCAATCGATATGTCGATCGCCAGCGTGAAATCGTACCTCTCTGGCGAGAACGAACTCTTGTATGATCCATCCCCTGGTGAACCATTGCGTTTCGACGATAGTAAGAATTGCAGTGACGGCGTTGTCGATTAAATTGATGGGCCCACGGTGCGCAGTCGGGACATTGTCATGTGGTGACTCTTCAAGCAACTCCACGTGCTCGAAAGCTTCACGAAGGTCCTTGTTACCCAGCCAGACAATGACCATGCTCGCTGCAGCATAAACCAGGCCCATATTCTGGACTTGACAACTTTTCTCATCGTTATCCGACTGGTTGATGCAGACAGCGTCCGCCCAGAGGACCCGGCTCCGATCTGGATAGCGTAGCGCCTGAAGCGCAACACTTAGGTTCTCCGTGACAGATAAGGCCGTGCCGCTTTCAACATCGTAAAGATAACATTCGGGAAAGGGACTGCCCCAAACGTATGATATGGCCTCGAACTGAACATTAGAATCCGTTCGTTGTATCTGGAGTATCCGACAGAACAAGGTTGAGCCGCACGTTCCCGGTAGAAGTTCGAGGACGCGAATTGAATCAGACGTCTGCAGCGGTATGTGAATGTACCGCTTGATATTATGGTAGATCAGATCGAAGATGTACAACGATTCGGATATATCAATATCAGACGCTCTTGAAATTAAGACTTTTCTCAACCGAGAGCTTCTCTTTGCGGATTCGTCGTAGTAGTTGCGGAAGGTGTGGTTGGCTCGTCGTCTCTGGGTCACTTCTGGGTCGTCGCAGTACCTTGGAATGATATCTATATCATGAAGCTGATCGGAAGGCATTGTGCGCCGCTGAGACCAGGGACTGGCTGCAAAATATGCTGCGACGTGTCGATTTTGGCGTGCAGCTTTAGGTGTCTTCGTATGCAGTCCATAGGTGATGCAACCATCAAATCGGGGCGACGAGGGGTTTCACAGGCCGAGGGCTGAGGCCGCCTTTTACACACCTCTGTTCATTAGGTACTATACGGTCATGCGGGAAGATTGCCCAGACACCTATCACAGCTCGCCGTGACGCACTTCTGTTATTGCTGTTGGCGGCGCAGAGCGGAGCACGACGCACCGCGGAAAGCGGCCGATGCGCCCCTTCTCATGATAGCGAAGCCAAATGTAGCATGTAGACAATGTACCATGTGCCGGATGTTGATGCAATGGGTGGAGAGGGGGTGCCAGCTACGCCCCCGCAGACTAGGCCCAAAACTGTCTTCGCGCTTCTCCCCACTTGCCCTAGTAGAAAATCGCTCGCCTCCAAAACCATATCACATGTGCACCAAAACAGCCTCCATGTAAAAGCGCATACGATTAGACAGATCGAAAGCAGGTTAGAGTACATGCTATCCGATCTGAAATGAGATGCAGCTCGCTTCAGTAGTGATCTTGCTATCGCCTTTCTTTGAACTCGAGCACATTCGCCGAAGATGCAGTAAGTATGCTAGCCAACATCCAGAGTTGTACGTACATCTTCATCTCCATGCCAACCTGATGTATTGTGGTCAAGCCTAGTATATCCTGAATGTGACATCGGGGTTGTCGCTCGTTCGTTTACGCGTAGCCTGGCCATCCATGTAGCCATCAACATAACTGTCGCAGGGTATCAGCAGACTGTCAACTGCGCAACGAAAGTACTATGCTTAAACCATGACGAAACGAGACTTACCATTCTCCAATCAGGATGTACTCCCCTTCAGCTGCAGGCCGCAGCACGTAGGGAACCTCCCCACCATTGAAGATGGCGATGACATCTCCTACCGCAGTGTGCGTCGGCACGTTCGCCAATAACTTTGAATCTGTCTGTGCAATGCGTCTTGCGGCTCTGGATCCCCGAGATTCGAGCTCGGACAGTAGCCGCGATGCTTCCGGAAGCTCGGTGAACCAGTCTCGCGATTGCGTAGTCATTCGTTGGAATACACAAAGCGGATTTTCTCGATAGCGGTCCTCTAGCGCGACGCGGACTAGGATCTTTCGGTCGAACTCTACCTTTTTGCCGCTGCGCATGATGTCGGAGACCTTCGCTAAATGAGCTACGTTGCCAATGAGCCATCCTTCAACGTGAAGAGCATCTTCGTTCACCACGAACGTTGGAGTCGTCGCACTGGCTTCATACAATTTAGGTTGCTTTGGAATAGCATCTCCGGGCGCTAGTGGATGATCCTCGATATTGGTCCACGTAGGAACCCATGAGGGTGGATGGTCTACTCCTCTCTTGCTGTCAACCATTGAAAGGATATGATAACCTTGCGAGCGCTCCAGCAATATCTTTGCAAAGTTTGTCATAACGTGACAAGTTGATAGGGTATAGTCGACTTCAATCCCACGTGCTTCATCAATACTCGTCAGAGGCAGGATTGCAAATAGCATATCCCGAGGATCATAGCAAAGGGTGCTACGAAGCGCATATAGCAGTGCTTCCGGTTTGAGCAAAGACTTGATGATTCGCACAGACTCCTGCAGCTCGGGAGTCTGATGACTGCGATGTTCTTCATTCAAGAGCACCCGCAGCTCCTGTAAGGTTGAGAAATAGCTGATTGCGGAAAGAGTTTTCTGGTCGGGTTGTTCTTTTTCGCATTCAAGCGTTTCTTCCTGGACAACAAGCATGAGATCCGCCCAAGACATCTTGACACGCCCCCACTGAATGCGGACGTCGCGCGCCAGTATGAGCTCCTGTTGAATCCAGCGGCGCTGCCAGAGCGTCTGAGAATAGAGGTTTTGGATAGACTTTGGTTGAGGTGCATCGTTGGTGCATTCATCTGGAAGCCAGGCCAACGTAATATCGGCGTATCGTACGAACTCTGCCATTTGGGAGACCTGATGGCTCTTCTCCGTCATGTCGCTTTGATTGATACATATGGCATCTACCCAAAATATGACGGGCTTCGAAACGGCACGCAACCCAAACAATGCTTTGGAAAGGCTCCGGAGTATTTGAACGAATTTACCATCCACGTAGATGTATTCATGATCTCCGGACCAGCCCCAGACGTAAGATAGATAAGCATATCTCGCTCGATTTCGTAAATCGTCCATGACAAGAGAGCATCGGATAGGATCTTCGTCTTTCTCTGCTGGGTGCAAGATGAGTAATCGAAAATACCCAGGCTCAATGGAAGAGTATAGAGACATCTGGTATTGCCCGTCTTCAATAGAGCGCTCTGGACCATTATTGCCGAGTCCGACGTCTCTACGATAGGCCGTGCGACGGAGGATCTTACCAAATAACTCATCACAGCGATCGAAATCCAGGTAACTCTGTACAGTGTCTCGTACATGCTGCCGTAAGCTGGAGCAGTCATCGTACATATCAAGATCCGGAAATTCGATCGAGTTCCGTATCTTTGATGCCAGCGCTGCATTTGTAGCTTCGCTGATGTGTTGCATACTGCCCGTCGCTTGACAGTAGGTTGCTAGATGCAGTGGCCAAGACTGATTTGCGTACTCCAGCATGGTCTTGCTGGTAGCGGAGTGTGATTCGCTCGTCCCTTCCAGGAGATAGATGAAGCAAGCTTGCGATAAATATGAACTTGCAAAAGCTCTGTCGAACCAACTTGGATCAATCCCGAAGCATGTAGTATCAAGCCGCTGTAAATATTCGTTGACCGAGAAATGTGCCATAGTAACGAAATGAGTACGGAGCTGGAGGCTCGTCTCTTCGTCTTCAGACAGCGGAGGCTCAATACGTACGAGCCCGCTCAGACAGTCTATGAGGTCAAGACACTCAAGAATCTTCTGTTGTTCGGAATCGAACGGCTCTCTCGAGGGCGGTATAATGGCGCATGCTTCCATCAAGTCCTCGACCAAAAACGAGCGCGCGGAGAACATGATCCACTGCAATGCTTTTAGAGTTCTCCATATCAACCCTTTCTCAACTTTGCCCAAGATACGATCGTAGAAGACATAAAGAGTCGCGGGTAGCTCTTCAAGTCGCGGTTCGAAATTCGTAGACCGAATGCTTCTTCGTCGGATGGACTTAACCAGCTCATCGATGTACAGACTAGCAAGTCGGAACCTTTATATGATGTTACTTGCTTTTGAAAAAAAGCGATGTTTTGGTCAACTTACATGCCCGCGGCCTTCTTCACGACTTGCGCTGTCAACCTGTCTCTGTCCTCTCTATCAAGTCTCGTACCTTCCTCTAATCTCGTTCCAATCGCGGTACCAATGTCTCGATCAATCTCTAAAGCAGGTATTGGCATCCTCCGCCAGCCGAGTTCTGAGCGACAATGTGATTGGATTCCGTTATCGGGACGAGTGAAAAGGACTGTCCGGATGCGAAAGTCACAGCCGAGCTTGTTTAGCGCCAACAGCCGGTTCAACAACCTCATATCCGCCGTTTGTGACTCGCACGACACCTCGTCTAGAGCATCTATCACCAGTACGATAGACGCCTTTGCCTTGGCGGGTTCATTTGACTTCAGAGTAGTCACTACGTGCAGGATAAAATTCTCAATCTCAGGTATTGTTGACGGCGATACACGGACTTTTCTTGCTTGGACGATAGATTCAGGGATCGGTTTAGCCGAGCAGAGGTACGCCAGAGTCGTGTTTGTTAGGAACTCCATATTATGTGTATACTTGTCGTTGAAGGAGAAGACCAACGGCACGACCATGTTCTGGCTATCCTCGAGTCGCAGCACCTCGGTCAGATGTTGTATGACGGAGGAGCAAAGAAAGCTCTTGCCACACCCGACTGAAAGTATGTCAGTAATAGTTTAAGTGATGATATTGTATCGCACAAACCGAAAAGGCTTGTTGGAAAATCTCTTCATGATACCCGAATTCTTCAAACAAGGAGACGGAAACACAGGGTGCGATGTAAAGACCTAGAGGACTGTGATATGTCACATGAGTACTCACCTTCCCCTGTTAGCCAAAGACCATCTTGAGATGAGTTGTACCACTCTGGCAGGACGTTGTTGAGTAGCCAGAGACCACAGCCTGGTCTACTGACCAAACTGCTGAGAATCTCCGCCTGGCTTCGTCCCTCAACCCAATCGCGGAACAGCCACGGTGCAAACCATCTCTGGATAGCTTCGCGTTCATCACCTACTGATCGTCAATTGCGATAGCTATGATAGAAGTCATGGGCGGGCTTACCAGGGTCGCCAAGATTGAGCTGAATGTTGGACCCGATCTGAGTGATGCCACGCTCCTTGGTCACCACATCTCCGACGTCCTGTTGAAAAGACATCTTCGTAGTGACCGATAGGTGTTTTCCGATACGAATATGTCTACAACTCAAGCCCTGTGGATATCGTACGAATGAAGCAGATCATACCGTGATCTTCGAGACGAAAAGGCTGAGATAGCGCGACGATCAGGTTTTGACAGGATTGCGTTCCCTCTTCCCATCAGCTCATTGGGTCCTCGGGGGGTGACGTGTTCAGCTTTAAGTTGAGGTGACCGCAGCTGGGGGCTGCCTTCAGCTCTCATATTGCGCTGATTCTTGATTCGTTGATTAACGCCCACATGCAGCCACCGCAGGGGCTATGTCAATCGCAGCGACAATAAACGATCTAACAGGAGCGATTGATTGCTCACCGGAAGCATGTGGTCATTTTGGTCCGAGCTGAATATTCAGCTCGTCGCTGTTGCTGCGCCGGATCAGGCAGCTTCGACTGCGCCTGCATCAACTTGCTCACACAACGGCACTACAAGTCGCGATATAAGACATGCGCACCCTTCTTGCTTGACAGTTCCAGGATCTCAATTACAGATCAGACAGTCCCAGAAGCCATGTCTGTGATTGGAGAAGCAGCTGCCATCATCGGCATCACTGATGTTGCTGTCAAGAGCATCAAAGGCCTCTACGAATTTCTCCGAGCAATCAAGGACGCCCCCAGAGACATTGTACTTATTCGCGTCGATGTACAAGGCTTACAAGCCAAACTTTCAGACTTGGAGTTCCTGTCCAAAGCCGATGCTAGAACGGTGGATGAAGTCAAAGAGACCGGCATTGCGAAGGTGATCAACGACTGCGGGACACAATGCGACGAGTTCGAGAAGCTGGTTGGGAAGTGGATCAAGCATGACGATAAGAGCTGGCGAGACAAACTTCGAGTAGCCTTGAACCAGTCTAGGATACAGAAGTACAAAGCGGTGTTGTGGTCAGCGGCAAGAGAACTTGACTCGGCGGTGGGCATCCTGACGCTGTGAGTACTGTCACATCCAAGAGCATGATGGAAGTTAATCTCCCTGGTAGAAGGATCAACGTGTCGAACCGATCCCCGGAACAGCAGGCTGCTTCGATGAACCAGCTGGGGGAAGAACTGGCATTGTTGGCAGTTGAGGCCGATGCAAGGCGCAATGACGTGCCGCCGCGTTTGGTTGCAATCGCCGAATCCGACGAAGATGAGGCGGAGTACGTACAACAGGAGTTGAAAGCGGGCGATACTGCCCTGGAGGAATTCATACAACGCTGCAAGGCTACTACGGCTCATCTTCAAGCTGTCAAATTGGACCAGCAGATCGGGAACATCCAGACCGGAGAAGAAGGCTATGCGCAGGTAGGAATGCCATTGGAGGCAGTGGAGAAGGTGAGCCGGCATCACGTCGGAAACGTTACGACAGGGAAGAAAGGCACGTCTCAGATTGGCATCTATCCGGCCAGCAATAAGGCTGGTAGTACAGGCGAGCCTGGCGTTGGCATGAGAAATCACCCGGGCACGGGATGAGTTCACGGCTACGCGCTGCGCGTGTCCGCCCCGCACTAGGCCCAATCAACGATGAGCGCCTTCCACGTGGGCATCTCATCACACACATGCTTTCATGAACCAGAATGGCAATCTTTACAATCAATATACATGGGCTCTCCAGCTAAGATGCGAAGCGATGCAGTCTATTAAGCAATCGTCACAGTCTCCACCAATCTACGGGGACACCGTCGGCATGTCGTGAGCATCCCTTGACCCAACGCGGTTGCCCTGCGAATACTAACATTCGCAGCCTCAGCTTCAGGAAACAAAGCTGGCATAACCAATGCACTATGGCCTAAATAATCTAGCAAGCGCTACTGGGAGACTTCCGGGTTCACCCAATCGAATCAGAGGATATCACTGCTATCCGGAAACCGCTCATATCACTTCTACATCTCGAGATGCTGAACGTCCCATCTCTCTACCGCAAACAACCCTCACAACCACCTATACCCTCACCCACAACCCCAACACCGGACCCAAACCTCGGTCTAACCCACAAAACCCACACCCTCCCCTCCGGCACAACCTTCCACATCTGGACGCCCACCTCCACCCCCATCGCAACAATAATCCTCCAACACGGCTACGCAGAATACTCCCTCCGATACCTAACATCCCACTCCTCCCTAATCACCCACCTCCTCGCCGCCAACTACGCCATCTACGCCCTCGACCTCCACGGCCACGGCACATCCCCCGGCCACACTCGCGCTGTCGTCCACGTAGGAAAAGCAGTAGCCGACCATCTCGCACTCCGGCGTTATGCTGTTGAACAAGGAGGGGGAAGACCAGTTGTACTGTTTGGACACTCCCTCGGTGGTCTAATAACCGCGGGGAGTGTGGTAGAGAATCGAGAGGGCATCTCCGGTGTAATCCTACTCAGTCCCGCATTCCCCGGCCCATTCCCCTACGCCGCTCGACTAGCCGTCGGCGTCTTAGCACGCACAATACCCACAGTCTCCATACCAGGCCGCTCCGTACCCATCTCCAGCCTCACACGCCGTGCGGTCGAGATAGAGAAATATCTCGTCGATCCCCTGTATTCCAAGAAACCGATATGTTTCTTAACAGCCGCGACGGCCGTGGATGTTGCAGACAGTGTTAGGACGAAGATGGGGGCGTGGACAGTGGCGACGTTGGTGGTGCATGGGGATGAGGATGCGTATTGTGATTGGAGGGGGAGTGAGAGGTTTGTGGATGTGATAGGGAGTAAGGAGAAGGTATTTGAGGTGGTTGGAGGGGGGAGGCATGAGTTGTTGAATGATGAGTGTGGGGAGGAGGTTTTGGAGAGTGTTTTGGGGTGGATTAAGGGACGGGTGTAGAGATGGATAGTTGTTGACTGTATGAGAGTGTGTGATTGATATGCTATAAACGCCGCCCAATGCAATACCATCCTAGGCTATAGCGATGCGTAGCAATGCGAGCCGGACTAGTGATTATACAAGAAATTGATATCCGTATCTTGTTCTACATGATTGTGGATGAGCGCGGAATTAAAGTGGTATCGTCCTTGAGCTCAGAAGTGGGGTCATCTTGCGGGAAAATGTGCAAGTTGAAATCAGAGCCCATCGCCCAAGCCGCTTGCGCTGATGATCTCTTTCTTAAGAAAACACGGAACATGTCTAGACAGTGCTTCCACTGCTAAACACCTTGCCGAAAGCATCTCCCTCTTCCATACTCAGTCCCTCGTCTAGAATGTCATGCGCCATGTTGACAACTTCATCTTCGATCCCCGCTTCTAGCACCAAGCCCTCGCTGAAGGCTAATCGCGTCAGCGCGACGAGATATGCGTGGTGCCCACCTAGCGTATTGACCAACTTGCTCTTGATGTCGAAATCGGCATTCGTGGTAGCGACGTGGTATATGAGCTTCATAGTGGCGTTAATGGAATCGACTTTTCGCTCTTGAGTTGGTGCGATGGGATGCCGATACAGACTTGTTACGCAGTGATCGAGGTACTTGATCAGCCGGCCAATGCAGAGGCCGTTCTGGGCTAGACGACTAGAGCCGTATTCCGGGATAGAGAACTGCGTCAGGACCGAGATGACGAGCAGGCGAAGATCCCATAGATCTGCTTCGGAGATAGCTGAAGCTTCATCGGAAGACTCCAAAGGATCCGGCACGGGCTTGGGCAGCTCGGTGAAGAGGTTGGTGAGACGATGGACCAGGGCGTCTTCGTTACTGGCTTGGTTGTCTTGAGCGGAATCTGCGAATGTTATGGGTCCTATTGAGGTGGAAAGTGCAGAGGTGCCAAGTATGCGCAACATGAGCGTGATTTGGGCATGTGGCTGCTCTTTGACCAGGAGCATGATGGCGAAGCTTGAAGGAATCGCTTGCCATAGACGAGCTATTGCTGTGGAATCTATTGAGGACACGCAGCTGCTCGCGATCAGGTACAGCAACTCGAGACAGTCTTCAACATCGATGTGAGATGCAATTTCTTGCTGCTTCGGGGAGTAGAGATCGGCAACGGCCTTCTCACCCCCTTTAGCTGCTTTGGAAATAGGGTCCGCGACGAGATCAACAAAGGCGATGATGAGCGGCACTACGCGCTCGGTGATCTTGACGGCGGTCTCGATCGGCTCACATGCGAGGATGAAGTGCAGCGCATCGAGTATCAGAGATGTCGGAGCGTAGTACTTCTCGGACTGACACCGCTTCCACAGGTCGAGGAAGATGTGACATATCTGTACTGCTAGCTCGTGCACATCAGATGTATTCATCTTCGCCAGAGCATCATACACGATCGAAGATAGTTTCTTGGATAGCTTGGACGGAAATGCATGCGACGTAAGCGCTTCGAGGACGCGATCAGTACCATTTGATGATGGATGTGACAGCAGGCGGTGCAGGAGGGTGAATCGGCGGTCGTCGCGTCGAAAGTGCTCGAGCAGTGCGGCGTCTATGACAGGACCCACGGCTGGTGCTGGCTCTGTCTCTCTGGGCCGAGTTCGCGGTTCGCTCAGCTGCAGCGCAGGCAGTGGTATAGGGCTCTGGTCGACAGCCTGGCGCTTCCTTTTACCGGCTTGCTTTGGCGTCGCCGTCTTCTGTCTCTCGCGGTGCTTTGACGGTGATGCCATGACAACGTCGTCGTCGTCAAAACCATCGCCCAGTGGACCTCTCGTCTTCTGCCCCCTCTTAGGTGTGCCGGCTGGACTGATTGCCTGCGCACCTGACTTGGGTCGTGAGGGCATGGTCCTGCCAGGCCGTCGGGCCATGACAGACTCTCGCGCCTCGTGCTGGTTGAACATGTTGTCCGTCTGCACCGACTCCTTCTCGCGCCGCAGCTTCTCCATCTCGGCCCGCAGCTTGGCCAGTTCGGTGCTATGCGACTGCTGCTGGTCCGCCAGCTGGCGCTCGTGTTTGCGGTTTTCGGCATCGTAGCGCCTTCGAAGGGTATCGGCCTCGCCCGCCTTGGTCTGCAGCTTGCCTTTCAGCTCCTCGGCTTCTCGCTTCTCGCGCGCCTTGTCTTGCTCTAACTGCGATGATCAGCGGGGCGTCTACAGACTGAGGTGGACGCGTCGCACCTTCTTGATGCGTTGGAGCAGCGCATTGGGGTCAGCCTGAGACCTGCGTGGCTGCTCCTCCACTTCCATCTGGTCATAGTGGCAATGTTCGATAATGTCGTTGATATTGTCATCGATGTGACTGTCATAGCCCTCCTCGTCCAGCGCATAGAGAGGCGGCGGACTATGCGCATCGTCCAGATTGACTACCTCGTCGCCATCGTCGGGGCCGTAGTCGGACTCTGGCTCCGTGTCGGGCTGGTGCTGTGTCGCGCGGATGGCGCTCGCCTCGAGATGCTGCAGGGCGTCGGCAGGGAGGTCGTCGAGGTCATCGTCGGAGAAATCGTCGAAGTCGTCGTCAGCCATTGTCGGTCCATCTGCCAGCGGGTCTGCGCGTGTGCATGTCCCAAAGCGGTCGCGATGCGGGGCGCATGGACGCGTTGTTGGCGTGTTGGCGTTGGCGTGTTTGGGTGCTAGGGAAATTCACATGCAGGCTGCAGGGTCGCTAAGCTAAGCGGCGGTGCCATGACGCAAGCTGCCCGTGGTTACTTGTCCGCCAATTTCACTACTTGGCCCAGTCGAGCCTGCCGCCAACACCACCTCCTTCACCCACCCCGCCCTCACCCATCGCGCCTTCCCCTCCGGCCTCGCCCCGGCTGCCCCTATACCCCCCAAGGATACCAGGCGCAACCGCCCTCTCCTCCTTCACCATGGCGCGCCCGAGAAAGGACGTCAAGTTCAACCACCAGGTCCGCAGCGCCAGCAACGGCAGGGCGCGGAGACCCTCGCAGAGCATGTCCGAGTACAGCGACCCGGGCAGTCCCACTATCAAAGAAGAGACGGCCCCTCCAGTACGTTGGCAGTCCTCTGCCCACGTCTCCCCAGCTGACAGCGCCAGGCCTCCGAACAGCCCCCCCAGACCGAGTACGAGAAGAAGAAGGCCAACTTCATAACGCGCACAACATGGACCCTCGTCATGATTGCCGGCTTCTTCTGGGCCCTCGGCGCGGGTCATCTCTTCATAATTATCATCGTCACGGCAGTCCAAGTCATATCCTTTAAGGAGGTCATCGCAATCGCAAACGTGCCCAGCAAGGCCCGCAGCCTGCGCTTCACCAAGTCGCTGAATTGGTACTTCCTCGGCACCGCCATGTACTTCCTCTACGGCGAGAGTGTCATCTACTACTTCAAGCACGTCCTGATGGTGGACCGTCTGCTGCTTCCCCTGGCTACCCACCATAGGTTCATTTCCTTCATGCTGTACATTATCGGTATGTTCCCAGTCCCCACGATGTATGCGCAAACTAATTCCTCCAGGCTTCGTCTTCTTCGTCTTCTCGCTCCAGAAGGGCCACTACAAGTTCCAGTTCACCCAGTTTGCTTGGACGCACATGGCCCTTTTCCTCATCGTTGGACAGGCGCACTTTGTCATCAACAACATCTTCGAAGGATTCATCTGGTTCATCCTTCCCGTCTCCATGGTCATTACCAACGACATCTTCGCTTACCTTTGCGGTATTACGTTTGGACGGACACCCCTCATTCAGATCTCGCCCAAGAAGACATGGGAGGGCTTCCTCGGCGCCTGGTTCTTCACTGTTATCTGGGGTATGCTCGTTGTCCACTTCCTCGGCGACTACAAGTACTTCATCTGCCCTGTCAACGATCTGGGCGCAAACATCTGGTCCGGCCTCGAATGCAGGCCAAACCCGGTCTTCATCGCGCGCGACTATACCGTTCCCTTCCTTCCCGAGGGTCTCCCCATCCCGCGAACATTCAACATCATGCCCGTGCAATTCCACGTCATCATGCTCGGAACCTTCGCGTCTCTTATCGCGCCGTTCGGTGGCTTCTTCGCTTCTGGCCTGAAGCGCACCTTCAAGATCAAGGACTTTGGCGACTCCATCCCTGGGCACGGTGGAATGACTGACCGCATGGACTGCCAGTTCATCATGGGCTCGATCGCCTTCTTCTACTACTCGAGCTTCATCGCCGTGCACCACACCACAGTCGGTGGAGTGATTGAAGCAGCAATCACCGGACTCACCTACGAGGAGCAAATGGAGGTTGTCAAGATCATGAGCAAGCACTTGGTAAACCAGGAGGTAATATCGCCAAAGGTATGTGATGCTTCTATTCCTACAGGAACAACGACTGACAGCTGCAGGTTCTCGAACTTCTTTCAGAACAAGTTGTGAGGAGGTGAGCACGTGTTTGTGCGAATTACGACGGAATATAGGTATTTAGAGATGGGAAGAAACGCTACGCCTGACGCTGTTTCGACATAATACGGTACGGAAGGGGCATGGGCTTTGCATGAGACGTGTTGGTATTTGGGCGCATATACCCTTTTTGCGGCTTGGCACGGGATAGGAAAAGCATCTGGAAAGTGCATATGTGAATATAATTACAAACTAAGCTCTTACTCATGGTTCGTTCATGGCGATGCACAAGTCACAAGTAGACATGTCGAACCGAGGCGCGCGCACGGACGCAACATGTTAGGCTGCGCGCATTGAAACTTTGGCAGTGCACATCACCCACGCCAATGCCACCCCGCCCTTTCGTGAACGACGGCCTGTGGCGATGCCTTTGTCCGGGGTTTCCGTCGAATGCTGGAACGACACCGTCCGTGGCAAGAGGAGGAGCTAGTCTGCTACAGCGCAATGCATCGCGAAAAGATGCCATAGCCCACTGCGGCCGCCAATGGCGTACCTACAACCGCTCCAGCGCACCCTCTGCAGCAAACGACACTTTCTTCTCGCAGCCCGGGGTAGCCCTGAACGGCTTCCGGTCTTTTGCAGAAAAGCCTCGCGCCTTCCCTTCGCACACTTCACGAGACAGGCCTCCGCTCGCCCAGCTCCCGACCTACATCCTATACGAACATGTGCGGGCCGAGGGCGCCAAGGGCAACTACGACGAAGTCATGAACATCTGCAGGGTGTTGATCAAAGACAGAGGGGAGGTGCCGAACCGGGAGATGTACACGGCCGTACTACACAGCTTCGTCGACTCGGTCAATGGCACGGCGGGGAAGGTCCGCAAAGTGCTGGAGGAGATGGGCTTCTGGGACAAGACCGATGGATCTCTGACCGGAAAGCCAAGGATCTTGCTGGATGCGCGGGGCTGTGAATGCGTGCTTGAGGTGCTTGCAGTGCACCCGGATTACCTCCTCCGCACGGACATCCTCGAATACATGAAGTCGCGATGGTTTATGCCATCCGACCGTGCGCGCAACTTCATCATAGCCGGAATGCTGCGCGAGCGACATTTCGAACACGCACTCGAGTTGCTGGAGGAGATGGTCAGGAACAAAGCACGCGTGGAGAGCTGGCTGTTTGACAAGGCTATATGGATGCTGCTCGAGTTTGGGGAAGTCGAGGAAGCATTCTACGTGCTGAGTCTCAAAGAAGGTGTGCACAGCAAGAGTAGCGGAACAGGTAACGTCCAGCTCAGTATCGCTCTCTGGGGAGCGTTGCTAGATGCTGCGGCGCACAAGCAGCTTGTAAGTGGGACTGTGTCATATGCATTCTAAGGGAAGTTGCTAACACCATCAAGTTCGCAGAGACGAGCCTCGTATGGATTGCGCAAGTTCAGCCGGGCTACCTGAAGCCTGGCACCGGCGCCTGCCTGCACGTACTCACTCTCGCCTCACGACACGGAGACATCCAGCTCGCTACCGATGTCTTTCGCGTCCTGACCGAACGAGGTACAACGTTCACTTCGCAACACTATGAACTGCTCATATCCACATACCTCAACGCCAACGACCTCCACGCAGCTTTGTCTGTCATCCTCATCATGGTCGATTCGAACTTGAAGGTCAATTCTGGGAGCTGTGATCCTCTCTACTGGTATCTGTCCGCCAAAAACCACAACGATGACAGCAGACCCATGCGAGCCTTCAGATATCTGCAAGACTTTGAGACTTCTGGCCGCAAAGTTCCCACCGCTGCTGTCAACGCATGCATCAAAGCCAGCATCGCAAACAAGCGCCTGGAAGAGGGCATCGAGATTTATAAAGCCCTACACACGGTATCTCATGCTGGCCCAAACACAGAGACGTTCAACATCCTGTTTCAAGGCTGCCATAGGTCCGCCCGCAAGGAGCTTGCCATGTTCTTTGCGAACGAGATGGTCAAGCTGGGTCTCAAACCTGACCGCATTACGTATGATCGTCTGATCCTGGTGTGCCTAGAATCGGGTGACCTGGAAGATGCTCTGCTTTACTATGAGGAGATGCGGTCAACGGGCGCGACAGCTGGCAAAAAGGGCCCCTTGAAGCCTAGAAGGAAGACGTGGGAGACGTTGATCCACAGGTGTGTCCTGAAGGGCGACGAGAGGGCCGTCGCGCTGTTGAAGGATTACAAAGCTAGTGTGGAGGAACCGCGAATCGCAGTGGAGCGAGCTGTCATCGATCGCTTCGAGTATGGCATCATACCGACCAATCTGGCGGAGATCGGACGAGCGACACCCGAACAGACAGCCGACGCTGTCAAAGACCGACATGGCAGGCCGGAGGCTGGTCAAACCCCAGACGCTGACTCGGAACTGTCGGAGGGACGAAGTGGGGCGGAGTCTGAAGGAACGAGCTCGAGTGCGAACACCGAGACGGGGACACAGAGAGCCGAATCCGTTGACGGGCTTTCACAGCTTATGAGAGTTAGCAAGAGCACCAAGCAGTACTAGAGTTTGAGCATTCATGCAAAGCCATCAGCAGGTCAGACATCGACTGAGGTCTGGCCAAGCAATGACAAGCTACACTATCGTCTCGCGCAAAGTCTTATCTCGCCGCATGCGCAGGTACATACTTTCAAACTTACCGGCGGTTTCTTGCTGTCTTCTAGCCGACCCCACGGGTGTGGAGCAATCAGGCAGATTCCCTGGTTATCCAGCTGTCGTTTCATCATCAAATCTGGGCCGGCGCGCTACTCACGCGCGTTGAGCAAATTGCGTCTCTCGCCCGAGCTGCCTGCTGCCATCTTCCGACGTTACGGAGCGCGCACGGCGATGGTGGGGATAGAACAAGTACCGAGGCCGTAATGCGAACCAATCGCGCCGCACGCGTATCAAGGTTTTTAAGCACCTAACGTCTTCTTGGAAAAGCTTAAATCCTGCCGCAGAGCCTCAGTACAAATTCGGCCCACATGAAGCCTCAACCGTCATGATAGCGCTGCGACAAGGGCGTAAGGATTTTTCCTCCCCAGCCGCTCGCTTTGAGGCGAGCGACGCCGAACTATGGCCGCGGACGCAGACGCGCCCTGCTTTGTGGTCATGCTGCGAGTCAATTCCCGCAAGCACGGACTGCAGACCGGTCAAGAAAATCGAGGCCGTTTTGTGGAGGGTTACCTGCTAGTGTTGCGGTGTATGGGGTCGGTGCTAAATCGAGGCATCCGGTGCAGCTCGCTGGCTGGCTATACCTGTATCTCCGGGTCAGGGTGTTTACCCCCAAAAGGCGGAGCACTAAGGCCGTCAATAATGCATTGACTGGAGTTTGTCTCCATGGTAGTGTGCCCACATTGCAGGATATTGTGGGGTGCGCTTCTGGAGTACAAGTACTGAGCTGCTGTCCATCCCGTCTCCTTCTGTAGTCCCCTCCTCTCCCCTCTGAATCTTCCTCCCTTCGTCAATCTTCACCATGGGACTCACCGGAAAGACTCTGCAGACGGCACAGCTGTTGCTTGTCGTTCTGCCAGCTTTTGTGCTGTTTGGATACAACCAGTCTGGTGTGGGTGGTTTGTTGTCTCTCCGTGACTGGAACGACCACTTCCCGGAAATCGATACCATCGATGCTACCGGCGCGGAGAAGAGCAGCAACTCGACCAAGCAAGGTGCCGTCGTCGCTACCTTCACCATTGGTGCTCTCTTCGGTGCTCTGTCTTGCTCATGGATTGGCGACATCCTCGGACGACGAAAGCTCATCTTCGGTGCCGCATTCCTGACTCTCGTCGGCGAGATCCTACAATGCACTAGCTTCCAGCTCGCGCAATTCGTCGTCGGTCGCTTCATCCTAGGATGGGGAGTCGGAGCTCTCAGCGCTACCGTCCCAGTCTGGCAATCCGAATGCTCATCGTCTGCCAACCGTGGTAAGCACGTTGTGCTCGACGGTTGCTTTATCTCTCTTGGCTACCTCCTCGAAGCATGGATCAACCTTGGATTCTTCGAACAGGATAACCTGCCTCTGCAATGGCGTATCCCGCTCGCCATTCCCACCGTCATCTCCCTTGTTCCCATGGCCGCTGTATTCAGCATCCCTGAATCACCTCGCTGGCTAGTCAACAAGGGACGCGTGGAGGAGGCTCGTCTCAGTCTGTCCAGCTTCAAGGGCTTGGATCTGCACGACCCCGAGATCACAGCTGAGATCAGCGGCATCGAACTCGCACTCGAGGAGACTGGTCGCAGCGCAGCGAAGATGAGCGACATCTTCACTATGGGCAAGGACAAGCTGTTCTACCGCTTCTCCCTCTGCATCTTCCTCCAGTTCCTGCAGCAGATGTGCGGCAGCAACCTCATTTCCACCTACTCAACCGTAAGTCCTCGCCCGCCTTGACTATAAAACCCAGTTCTAACACAGATCAACAGATCATCTTCCAACAAGGTCTCGGCCTCGACAGCGAAACCTCGCGCATCCTCTCCGGCGGCGCGCTGACCTGGAAGTTCCTCTCCTGCTTCGTCGCCTTCTTCACCATCGACCGCTTCGGACGCCGCAAGCTCTTCATGTTTAGCGGAGCAGGAATGGCATCCTGCATGTTGGCTCTCGCCGTCGCATCCAGCTTCCCCAAGACAAACCAATCGGCTCAGATCGCCAGCGCGCTCTTCGTCTTCCTCTTCAACTTCTTCATCCCGATTGGTTTCCTCGGAGCGAACTTTTTGTACTGCACGGAAGTTGCGCCGACGAGGCTGCGTGTGCCTATGGCGGGTATTTCTACTGCTAATCATTGGCTTTGGAATTTCGTTGTTAATATGGTTACGCCGGTTGCTATTGAGACTATTGGGTGGCAGTACTATCTCGTTTTCCTTATTATTTCTGCTATCATTCTGCCGGTTGTTTACTTCGGTTACCCGGAGACTATGGGCCGCAGTCTGGAGGAGCTGGAGATGATGTTTACGGAGGGGACGAGTATCCCGGCTATTGTGCGGGAGTCGAGGAAGCCGTTTACTAGTCCGCTTCCTGAGCATATGCTCGAGAAGGGCGGGAAGGATGTTGATGAGGAGGAGTATGTGCACTGAGCACGTTGAAGATGGAAAGGCATACTGAATTATGCGTTTGGGGAGCCTATGTCATCGCAGAATACTAGCGATGCTATGAATAAATGAAATGAATTACGATCAGACTAAAGAAATCATCTACATAACGGTTGTGTATTATCGTGTCAACTGTGCCTGTATCCTCGATTACGATGAAGGACGAACATCACGGACGCGCAGCTCTGCGACCTACCTAGGTACTCTCACCGGTCGCACTCTATCCCAAACTACTGAATGACTCCACGTTCGGTCCTTGTTGTCTGATCACCGCCGCGATAACCCCGGATTCCACGATCGACATCTTAATTCTATCTTTATATTCCGGGGGATGATCAAATGGCAACTACAAACCACACGTTGGACCAAGTCGCCCCAGCCTTCTTAAACACAGGATAAGCATAATCCTACATGATACAAGCAACCAAAGCCACAATGGCTCCGGGGAGTCTTCCAAAATGACATCATGAGATCTGCACAAAGGGTCCTAACGCTAATCCCCTCTCAGCCACCCCGCCTTTGCGCACTCGCCACCGGGGCACTGCGATAGGCTGAGTCGTAGGATGGTTTACCTGTTTGGTGATGCAGCTTACATGTCTCGGTCATTTATCCAGGTTATGCGACTGGGTTGGAGTCCTAATCGCCTGGTGTCAAGCTCGTGCCGAGCTGGAAGCTAGCCACAGAGCAGCCCTGGCGGGAGGCTATGTAGGTAGCATCTCGTATTCGGTTGCTCAGCCATGTGAGGTGGTTAGTTGGAGGCAGTGAGGAAGATCGTGGGAATAAGGTAATTCTAATATTGATGGATGGCCGGATATATAACCAAGCGAGGACGCTATTGCTTGGTGGTGGTGTTATAGCTGTCAGACACGTCTTACCTGCATCCATAAGTCACAAACTCTCCGAGAAAACACATAATACGCAATACATAACAGCACGACTACTCCACTACAACCAACACCAACAACAACAACGACCATGACAGAAGCAACCCCCAAAACAAACGACTACTACGCCCCACCCTCCTCCACCCTAGACACACCCCCAACCTACCCCTCCACTACATCCTCCCCACCAACCTACACAACCGTCGCCCGCGCCCTAACCACCCTCTCAGAAGGCGACCCCGACGAAACAATCCCCGTCCCCATGATCACGCGCACCCTAGCCTTCTCCCTCCACAACTACAACCCGTTCTCCCGCAAACAAGGCAAAATATCCCAATCCATAATAATCCGGCAAATGAAGCGCTCCTACTACAATGCACATTACGCCAAGGATGCGGAGGGGAACTTTGTGGGGACGGGAACCCCGGCGCCGGATCTGGGGTTGGTTTTCGTGCCGGGGAAGAGCAGTAGTGAGGATATGCTTAAGCAGGCGAATGAGGTGGCAATGGAGGTGCAGAGGAGGAGGGGGAAGGGGATTGGCAAGTTTGGGATGCCGCAGGATGGGCCGGAGGGGGGGATGATGGGGGTTACGCTGCCGGGGGGTATGTGAGGGGGGAGATGGGTGTTCTGGGTCTGGGTAGTTGGATGGGAATGGGTAAATTGGATGCAGTTTGGAGTCTGTTATTTTGATACCGTTTCGATAACGACTTCGTCAACAAATGTTAGAATTTGCCATGTTTCTACGTCTAATAGTAGCCTTTGTCATCCCACGGACTCCTCCTCTTAGCCCACCCCTCAATTGGCGTCAGCTTGACTCCTAGTTCGTCCACTACAGGCTTCATATCGACATTAAATGGCTCATCTTCCGCCTCGTTGTAATACGTATACGCCTTGAACATCTGACTAACAATCGTGTCCGTATCCAAACCACGCCCCTGCATCGCCTTGCCAATCTTATCGCAAAAGTCCGCAACAGTCTGGTTCTCGTAACTCAGCTGCTTGTCCCAGGCTCTCGACAGCTTCTCGGTTAGTTGGGAAAGAACAACGGTTTCCGCACCGCCGATAGGGATGTCGCGGCCAGCAAGCTCAGGATGCTGCATAGCGGACGTCATGATCTGCGCGACATCGTGGTGGCAGATCCACGACACGCGCAGGTCGGGCTTGTGGCAGTAGACAAGGGTATTGCCGTCGCGGATGGAAGGTAGAGCCCAGCCTTCGAGAAGGTTGTCGAGATAAACCACAGGCTCAATGCTGATGGTCGGCACAGACTCCCTCAATAACCTCCTCATCTCCCTTCTGTCCTCTTGAGCTACGATGTCTTGAGATTCCTCCGGCACCGGCATACTCGTGTTGAACAGAAGCAACGGGACGTTTGCCTTCTTTGTGGCCTCACCGATGTACTTGGCCGCCGCGATGATGGGCTCGGATTGGTTGAACGATGTACTCGGGAGGTTGAGAAAGACCCTGTCTGCGCCTTGGAGTACTCTTGCGATGGCATCATGGTCGGTAAAGTCTGCGGCAAACGTCTCCACGTCCTTCCCATCTACCAGAACAGGTTTC